TATATATATATATATATATATATATATATATATATATATATATATATATATATCCTCTTTTGAGTAGTATCTGTTTTTTTAACATCTTCATATTTAAGGAGAGAACTGTAGTTTCCAAAGTCGGATATCACTTGTTATGATTTTCAAGTGTGTATAATTTAGTAGAGACTTTATGACATGTCCCAACTAATATCAGCCACTACTTAATTGTCCCTAGCAATAATTTTGATCAAACAATTAAATGTGTGTTGTCTGCCGTTATGTCCCCAGCAATGTCAGAGATGCTGATTTAGGAAAAAATTTGAATGGTCTCTTAATGTTTCCAGAGCTGTATAATGGGGAAACATGAAACAGGTTTATGTGATGGATGTCGGGAAGTTGAGACTAACATTTTTTTTTTTTTAAAGTCATGTCAGTTTGTCAGTTTTAGGGTAATTTACCGTGTTCTGTTGTTCATGTTGGTAGGAGCAGATGACAAGAAAAAGCAAAGAAAAATGTTGTTTAAAAGAAAAAGAAACAAAAAAGAGGAAGACATTTTCTGCTTGCATTTGCATTTTTTTCCTAAATGTCAGTGGGCATTCTATGACATTCAGACTTAAGAAACATTTAGGGATTTTTCTGCAATACCCTGAAGTTTATGGGAAACATATGATAACAGTGATCTTCAGGAAAAATGATATTTCATGTAATTTATTGCACTTGCTGATGAATGAATATTGTCTAATTACTTCCAGTGATGAACTTTAATCAGAGAATTGACACTGTCATTATAATATATAAAATTGTACTAGTATATATAAAATAGTATTATGGCTCTGTAAAAAAAGTGCAATTGAAAAGAGTTGAAGGATCCAGTTCAGCAGTTGAAAACTGCTTCATATTTTTGTGGAAACTGTATACATTTAAAATTTCAGGATTCTTTGATGAATAGAAAGTTCAAAAGAACAGCATTTATTTGAAATATAAATATTTTGTAATATTGAAAATTAGAGCTGTCAGTCGATTAAAGTTTTGAATCTAATTAATTACATAATATTTCTATTAATTAATCTAATTAATCGCAATTAATCACAAAATAAATTTGACTGTGAAAATACCCAAAAAATATTATTTAAAGCTAGTTTTGTGTTAAATTAGAAAGTATCAAATAGACATTACAAATTGTAGCTTTAGAAATATTGTATTTGATTCAACATAACATTTATTACACATAAACATTTAGGCTACAACGACCTAACATAAACTATGGAACATAAAAGAAGATAATTTGAGAAACATCTCAGTATTTTTTGTTCATACAATGAAACTCATTGGTAACCAAAACGTGCTTTGCTACCAACAGTCTTCAGAATACCTTCACATTCCACAAAAGAAAGTAAGTCATTCAGGTTTGAGTAAATGATGACAGAATTTAATATTTTTGGGTGAACTATCCCTCTAATGTTTTTATTATTATTATTATTATTATTTTAATTAAATGATACTCTAAATAAGAAACTAAATCTGCCAGGAGGTGGCGGTAAATGCATTCATTCGATTCGTTCAAACGGCTGATTCATTCAGGAATTCAGTAAACGGCTCTCTTTATGAATGGGCCTTTGAATCATTGATTCACACGATTCGTTCAAAACTCGGATTCATTCAGAAACTAAACACCTCTGTGCTGCTCGGAGACGCACAACAGGCTTTATAAAGGTAATATGTTCTCTGCAAAATTGAGCAAAAAAAAAAATATATATTGTTGTTAAAATATAACACCAATATCAACTTTTA